TTGCTGTATGTGGGACGCGGCCTCAGCATGGCCGGAGAAGCGGTGCGTCGGTGCGCGCCCGGGATCCGAACCCGGGCTGCCAGCAGCGGAGCGCAAGCACTTAACCGCTGAGCCACGGGGCTGGCCCTAAATGTTTCTAAAATTAGTAGATTTACTAAAAGTCTTTAGGAAATTTGTCAATTGGTGATTCTATTCAAAATTAGTTTGGAAGGACAACTCTTGGGTTAGCTAAGATCTTTGCCAGTATTGGTCTGTGTGACCTCCCAAAGTGACCTTCATTCTGTCCAGCTTCTCATTCGGTTTTCAAGGGCCTCTTCCTCGACAAAGCCTGCTCATGTCTTCTCAGTTAACCTCTCCCACAGAGGTGCTCCCTGGCACTCAAAGTTTGCATTTGACACTTACTGTTGCCTCTTGAGTCTCGGCATTGTTGCATAACAGCTTTGCAAGCATTCGGATTTGAGGCTGAAGGCACTATTAAAGTGCAAGAGAGAAAAGAAGACAAAATACTGGAAATTAGATTGGCTCTTTTCTTGTTGAATTTCAGGGCAATTTTGTGAACAGCCCTGCTGGTTGTTGAAAATAGAAAACTGAAATATTTCAATATGTTTCTGATGGGTAACCAAGGGAGAGGGAAAAATTTGAAGTATGTCTTACCAGTCCCATAGTTATCCTCGATTTAGGTATTCACAAGAACAAATATACCTTAAGCTACAGATGTGTTTTGAATTATATAGTTCTTTTTGTATTGAGCAAACTATATTTTAAAGTTTAAGCTTCTTAAAAAGCATCCTTGCAGTTTTCCTTGTGCTTGAGTAACTAGTGTCTGTCAAACTGCTGATCTAGTAACTGAATCTTATCATTTGATTGGATTATAGCATAATTTTATACCTAAAACACAGTGAAGGCCATGTTCCTTTACAAATGAATTAAATTAGAGGAGAACGAAATAAAAAGTAAGGATTGATTGTCAGTTGAAATGATTATAAGATTAAAAGGTTGAGTCTTGGGAAAAGTAGGATATCGTATTGAATAGAGCAGTGATTCTCAACCCTGGATACAGCCTCGAATCACTTAGGGGCCCTTGGAACAACAGCAGCAGCAGCAAATACTGATGCCTGGACCTCTCCCCTAGAGATTCTGATTTAGTTGGGGCCCAAGTAGCTATAGTTTTTTAAAGCTCCCCAAGTGATTCTAATGTGCAGTCAGGTTTGAGAACTGCAGAAACAGGTAGATGCAAATCCAAGCTATTTAAAGATAGCGTTTCTTAGTAGACTGAAAGTAGTGACTACATAGCTATTTGACAAGAGGAAACATGAGAAAAAGATGCGGGAAAGAAACTTTTAGTGTAAAATTTCTAGAGATTTACAATCCATTGTTCAGTTCTGAAATACAAAAGCTCTGAAAAACAAAAGTTTTGCTTAAGTTACTTAGTGACAAAATCTAACCTACACTGAGCATATTTAGTGGAAAATCCTGAGGCTTTTTCTAGTCGTTCTTTATCCTGTTTGGTATGAATAATCATACATTTCATTGCAGAAATATTAATGTGCCTGATTTCTGATTACAAGTTGCTACCCCAGACCTCACTGAGGGTGTGACATGGATATAGTACCTTTCTGAAATGTATAAAATTTTGAATTTTGACATACATCTAGCCTCAGGGGTTTCAGATCATGTTAGGGAAGGGTTGTGATAGAGAAGGCAGAGGTAATAATGTACTTCCTGTCAGATTAAGAAGAATGCATTTCTACTAACTCCCTAGGCAGTGGTTAGCACCCACATTAAATAAAGACAATGGCTAATGTCAGAACGTGGCTCTTGGCTCGACGTCTGTATATTTCTTGAGCCTAATCTGAGAAGAGGGTTCCATTTCAGTTATGGTGAGAGAAACTGAGGTTAACCAACAGCACAAGTAGATGAAGTAGAAAAATAATCATTGTCTTATAAAAGACTCTTCAGCACAACAAACTACCCCTGAATTTAATGGTTTAAAAGGACACATTTATTATCTTAAATAGTTCCTAAATGTCAAGAATTCAGGAGCATCTTCTAGCTGGATGGTTTTTGCTCATGGTCTCTCAGGAAGTTATTGTCAAAATGTGGGCCAGGATCTCAGTCATCTGAAGACTTGACTGGTGCTGGAGTAGGGTATTTCTTTTTCAGTGCCAACAGGTCCCTTATTAGTACTTAAAGAAAATTCTAGTTTCTGTTTCTGCAGTTGCTCAAAGTTTTAGTTTTCAATATAAACCTAACACTTATCTGCAAAGGAGTCCTTGGGTTCTTCTAGTGTGTGTTCAGAAGATTCCTGCTGGGAGTAGCTTATTAGTGGGGAATGACTTCTCTTGTTTTTCATTGTCCTCCCTCAGGCAGCTTTTTCTCTCCCCTAGGTCCTTTCTATGTTCTTTTAAGGTTGTCTATGCATCCACCTACTGTGGGTCAATAAATGAGTGTTGATTGCCCTGGGTAATACCAAAAAAAGACAAACCAGATCCCTGACTCAGTGGAGCTTCCATCTAGAAGATATTATAGGAGCGTGTAATGGAATCTTACCTAGTTTGTGTTTTTGTTTGATCCGTGCTTTGTCCTTTGTGTTTTGTAGGAAGAATAAGCTATCGTTGGGGTTTTTGTCAAAAACTTTTTCCATCGTGGGGCAGAAACACGGAAGCTGTTCTATACCTCACTCCACTTGAAACACTCTTGCATCCTCCCTGATTGCAGACATTCAGGGGATTTAGTAGTACAATAGAGTAATCTCATTTACTTTATATTTTTTAAAAAAAGTCTTAGGTTCCTTCTAAATTACAACGGTGAAGTTCTTTCCCATTGCCATCTCTTATCTCCTTCCCAGCTCCTCCAAAATGCTCTTTGGTTTCTTGCTCATCCCATTCCTCTGTTTCTTTCCCCACTGAACCTTTGAAAAGGTATAGTGTTATACTGTGTTGGGAATATAATATTTTCCTTTTCTAAGCTATTTATATTTTGAGCCTTATTTCCAATTAGAGAAAGAAAAACTAAAGATCTTGTGAAGAGAATTTCAGTTATGGAAAACTGAAAGTAGGGGGTAGAGTAGACTGTTTTTGATCCTCTGTAAGCAAATTAAGTGATCCACCTCACGCATCATTTTCCATCTCTGCTTGCTCCCTGTCTCTGAGTCACAGTAGAATCTTCCCTGGAGGGTCATAAAATTGGGAAGCCATTGACAAGATCTCAGTGAATGTTTATAGTCTGAATCTTTGCCCCACCCCTAAATATTTGTGACACCGTGTAGGAGGAAAATCCTGAAAAGAGATGCTAATACCACAATAAACCTTACAAACAATTTCAAATATATAAAATAATGAAATAATTGACCTTTTTTTTGCTTGTTTTTGTTTTTTGTTGCTGTTTTTATTTGACTACCCATATAGGTGTTTGTAAAGGGTTTCCTATGGTCACATGTCATTTCTATCTTCTCCAGGCCTCTTTTTCCCCATAAATTCTTCAACTCAAATTTTCCTACCGTGAGCATTTTCAGAGCTCAGGCTTCCCAGTGGAGAGAGGCTGATTGTCTTCTCTTTACTGTATAATTTTCCAGAGAGAGTCTTAAGGTATCAAAGAATCAGGTAAATCAAGAGTATACACTTTGGCATGGCATTCATACTAGCCAGCCAGGGAAAGCAGGGCAGTAAAGCAGTTCCGGGAAGCCATCTTCTTCAGGGGAGGGTGCCCTGGCCATTGTGAAAGCAGCCCTAAGTGGAGTCCTTGTGTCTAGCATATATTGCTACTTTCGCCTTTAAGTAAGTGAATATAAATTAGAGTAATTTCAACAGCAAATCTTCATTAACCTTGGACTTCCAGGTTCTCCCTTTATAATGTCATTAGTGTGGTATATTAAGCTGCAGGACCCTTCCAAATTCACCACCACCACCACCTCCAAACACCTGAACACACACACACTTCTAAGCTTAAAAGACCATGTCCTGAAGGGGAAGGAGCTTGCTCATTATGGAATTTTTATTGCTACCAAATTGATTTCCCAAAGATTTTCCTCATGGTGTCTTTGAAAGTGACTGTGGTTATCTTTTTTGTCTCTATTTTATGTTCCTCTTTGAGAATGCTTTAATGAAATGATTTCAGCATTCAAAGTGTGTGTGCAGGAGAGAGAGAGCAAGCAAAAATCTGGACAAATAAGTAGGGCTTAAGGTGCTTAGGATTTTAAAGGTCATGTTGTCTATTCCCATTTCACCTCTCCTGTGAGTTAATAGCACTTGTTTTATGTGTCATATTCTCTGAAATGGTTGCTATAAACCTGTCAGACTTCAAGTGAACAGTCATTGTGTTTGCGCAGAGGTCCAGTTAAACCAGGATCACCTATCTTAATTTTTCTAGAATTTCTGTATTAACTAGAATCTTTGCAGGATAAATAATATTTAATATCTTTGCCAAGATATCATGCCTGTTTTAGTAATTTATTTGCATCATTTCTGAATGTTTCATAATTATATTTTTGAGGTTCTTCCCATCATCATGCCAAAAATACCATTGTTTTACAATGTATGCATTCTGGCAACTGTCTAATTTCTTTTAAAAGTAAGTCAATATGATCCTTCCAGATTTTTGGCCTAAAATTCCTATGCAGAAAATTTTTCATGTTATTAAAAACAAACAAAACCGAAAAAAGTGGCAGCAAACTTAGCTTTATTTTCAATAGCTCTTAATTTGGGTTGCCTGTCTAAAAACAAAGTACTGCTTTTAATATATACATTTTTCTTATTCTAATTTGATTTTTTCCCCTAATATTTTATTAGGTACAGAGAGAGCTAGCAGCTGTTATTGCTTTGAAAGCAAGGAAGTCTGGTGAGTAGTCTTTCATGGGGCTGGGGGAAGGTTCTAATTCTTGGGAGATATTTGACAAGTCATCTGGTTGTGAGCAGTTGCATATATCTCAGGAAGTTTTGGTGTAGAATGCAGAAAAGTATCACTGTTTTTAAAATCGTTCATTCTACCATTGAAATAGGACAGGATGTTATATATAGTTCTTTAAGATTTTACTGCCTTACTTTATTTCATGTTTCAAGGAAAAATGAAATTAAAAATGTTCGTAGTCCATTGCAACATGAAAAAAGTCTAAGTACACAGCAAAAGAAAGCAAACCTCATTGCATTACCTATCATAACAGCAGAAAAAAATAAGTAACATAAAGGTGGTCTTTTTTTTTAAGGATATATTTTTTATCTCAAAGTAGTTTCTTCTAAAAATAACTGTGTAATGACGTGTAAAACCAAGCATTTTACATAGGACTGATTGCATAGATCAGATTCCTAAACCAGTACGAAACAATCTGTGGAAGTGATATGTGGAAAGGAAAAGGGAGCTTTTAAATACATTTTGAAGGAGAGAAAACCATAGTCTGCTGAAATTCAATATGAAATAGAGACTCACTGAAGTAGAAAAACACTTGCTTAGAGAGGAGTGTCAGAAGGAGGCATCCTTTGCTGTTCAGAGGGAGAAGGTCAGTGCTGAATGGAATGACATACAGAAGGGAGATGCTTCTTGGATAATATTAAACCAGAATAAAACTTTTCAGGTGGAAAGACTATGACAAAATCAGAGATGACAAAATTTAAAGAAATAAATGGAATGGAAATGTCTTAAGAACACGTGCCATACATACATTTTACATCTTTCTTCTTCCAGTCAGAAACTCTAAGAATGTGCTTTTCTCTCAGTTACTTTTTGAATCACATTCACCTTAGTGTGGATTAGCTTGTTATATTTATACTACTTTCTTTGTCGATTTGGCTGATGTAGAGAACTCGAGCCTGGATGCTGTAAAGGTGGAGAGGAGGATGCAAAGAATAGCAATCTTGACCCACAGGGTATTGAACAGAGAGGGCGGCTTGAATAGGGCTCCTCAGTGAACAGCATTAGATTCTGGATATTTGCATATGGGGAGGTCAAGATGGAGAAAGGACACCAACATAAAGGTTGTAGGAGGGAGGGCTTAGAAATAAATTGTGCTAGAGCTGATCTTGGTTCCTGTAAAAAGGAGAAAAAACTTACAGTCTGTATGAGTTGGGATGGCAGGGTCTTGGGTGATAGGATCTGGTTTGTTTGTTTGTTTTTTTAAGTTTCAGAAAAAGTTGGGGAAATACTCAAAAACTTTTAGAGTATTGTTTCTGGAGAAAAACAGAGCAAATAAATACAGATAGGGAGGCTGGAGAACGGGGTTGCTAATTTGCAGAGTGGGGTGGGAAGGCCTCTGATAGGCAACATTTGAACAAAGTCTGAAGGCAGTGAGGGGGCAAGTCCTGTGGATATCCAGACAAGAGCATTTGGGCAGAGGTGTGTGAGATGAGTTTGAGGAACAGCAAGGAGGTGAGAGTGGCTGGAGCCAAGCGAACAAGGGGAAAAGAGGTCAGTTTTGGATGTCAGGCTAAGAAGTGTGAACTTTCTGGAGCTGAAGGGAAAGGAAGAGGAGTAAGCAAGACCCATACACGTTAGATTGTGCAAAGTGGAAGACTGATTTGAAGTCAGTTATTATGCCTTGGTGTGGCTGTATGAAGTTAGTATGTCTGTTTTCCTTACTTATTTGATCTGTGGAGCTTGGAATGTGAACTCACCTTTGGCAACTTCTCAGGGACAGAGTGAAGAGGTCTCTCACTCATATACTAATGATGGGGACATAAATTCATAGTTTTTCAGAAAAGCGATTTTTCATCATGTTCCTGTATCCGTAACCCAACGATCCAGTAACTCCATGACTGGAGGTCCAGCTGTAGGGCGTAATCAGAGATGCATGTAAAGTTTCAAGTAGAAAGAATCTATTGCAGTGGTTTTTTTTTTTAACAATAAGAAATTAGAAACAATCCTTAAGTCCCTGTAATAGAGAAATGGGAAAATTGATAGATCAGTGTAAGGGAATGTTAAACAGCTTTTAAAATGATATTTTGAAGAATTAATATAATAAAATGTTCAGTGGAAAAAATGTATACAATGAATATGTATTACTTCTCTTTTTCACAATAAAAATAGTTTAAATTGTTTTTTTCTTACTATTATAGTATAGCATGCCCATTGAAAAAACTTTGGTAATACATGAATATTGAAGAAATTGAAAAATCACCCATCATCTCACCAACAGAGATAACCACTATTACTCTTTTCTTGTATATGTTTCCAGACATTTCTCTATTAATATGTAGCTATTATATATTAATATGCAGATTTTATATAAGTGGGATCATCTTATATGTGCTCTTTTGTTTTGAGATAATTGTATATTCATATGCAGTTGTAAGAAATAATACAGAGATCCTATGTTCCACTTTCCCAGTTTCCCCTGATGGTAACATCTTGCAAAACTATAGTACAATATCACAGCTAGGATATTGACATTGATAAAGAACATTTCCATCACCACAAAGATCCCTCACATTGCTCTTTTATAGCCATACCGACTTGCCTCCTACCCTCACTCTCTCCTTAACCCCTGCAATTACTAATATGTTCTCTATTTCCATAATTTTGTCATTTCAAAAATATTATATGAATGGAATCATACAGTAGGTAACCTTTTGGGAGTGGCTCTTTTCACTTGCCATAATTCTCTGGAGATTCATTCAGGTTGTTGTGCACATCAATAGTTTATTACTTGTTATTGCTGAATAACATTCCGTCATGTGAGTTTATGACAGTACGTTTAACCATTCACCCATGGAAGGACATCTGGGTTGTTTCCAGTTTTGGGCTCTTATGAATAAAACTGCATGTACAAACATTCATATACAGGTTTTTGTGTGAACCTTACTCTTCATTCCTCTGGAGTAAATGCCGAAGAATACAATTGCTGGGTTGTTTGGTAGTTTCATGTTTAGTTTTTTAAGAAACTGTCAACCTGTTTTCCGAAGTGGCTGTACCATTTTGCATTCTCACTAGCAATGTATATGTGATCCAGGTTCTCTACATTCTTGCGAGCATGTGGTATTGTCACTATTTTTTTTTTAGCCATTCTAATAGACTTGTAATGATATCTCACTGTAGTTTTAATTTGCATTTCCCTAACAGCTAGTGCTATTCCATGTGCTTATCTGCCATCTGAATGTCATCTTCGGTGAAATGTCTGTTTGTATTTTTTGCCCATTTTCTGATTGGATTTTTTTTTTTTTTCTGTTGAGTTTTGACATTTCTTTATATATCCTGGATACCAGTCCTTTGTCAGGTATGTGGTTGGCAAATATTTTCTCCCAGTTTATAGCTTGTCTTTTCATTTTCTTATCAAAGTCTTTCACAGAGCAAAAGTCTTTGGTGAACTCCAATTAATTTTTTTTTATGGATCATCTCTTTGGGTCAAGTCTAAGAACTCTTTGCCTAGCTCTAGATCCCAAAGATTTTGTTGTGCCTCTTTTTCCTTGAAAGTTTTATAGTTTTATGTTTTACATTTGAATCCATGATCCATTTTGAGTTAGTTTTTATATAAAGTGTGAGACTTTAGGTCGAAGTTCTTTTTTTTTTTTTTTTGGTTTATGAGTGTCCAGTTGCTCCCGCACCATTTATTGAAAAGACCATCTTTCTTCCATTGAGTTACTTTTGTACCTTTGTCAAAAATAAGCTGCGCTTATTTGTGTGGGTATATTTCTGGGTTCTCTGTTCTGTTTCATTGAACATATTCCATTGGTATCCACCAATGCTACACTAATGATAACTGTAGCTATATATAACCTACTTTTTATAGGATTCATTTTCATGTCAATAATATAGATCGGCATCATTTTTATTAGCTATATGTACTATACAATTTATTTAATTCTTGGTTGTACATTTAGGTTTTTAGTTTTTTTCCATTATAAATAATAATAGACCTGAAGATATATTCTTGTGCATATCTATTTTTGCCTTTTCCAATTATTTTCTCATAATAAATTACTAAAAATGGAATAGCTAGGTCAATCGCTACGTGTGGACAGTGTTAAAGTTTTGTTCACATATATGACTTCAAGTCATCTGGAATTTATTTTTATATGTGATGTCAGGTAGAAATCAAACTTTATGTTTTCCTTATGCTAAGCCAGTTACCCCAGTAGCCCTCATTAAATATGATGTTAACTCATCAGATATGAAGTTTATATATATTCTTGGGTTTATTTCTAGTCTCTGTATTCCTTTCATCTATTTATCCCTATGTCTATACTATCCTGTTTCAGTTACCAAAGCTTTATAATAAGACATTTTTTAGGGGGTGGGGATAGGCAAGTCTCTTCTTACTTTTCTTGTTCTCTTAAGTTTTATTTTGTCAAGTTCCATGAAACCCCCTATAGGAATTTTTTTAAGTATATTTAATTTATAGATCATTAGATAAATTTTGACACTTTGGAGATACATGTTTCCACCCATGAGCCTAGAGTATCTTGCCATTTTTTTCAAATCTTCAATACTGTTTTAAAAATTTCTCCATAAAGATCTTACATATTTTTTGTTTGTATTTTTAGATACCTTGTAGTTTTGGTTACTTTATAAATGAACTATTTTTTCTCTTTCTCTCTCTTTTTTTTTTTTAATTGGCCTTATCTCATTCTGTGATGGTTTCTCAAGTCTTTGTCATTCATGACAGTTTTTTTTAATAGACTTTACTTTATAGAACAGTTTTATGTTCACAGAAAAATTGAGCAGAAAGTATACAGAGTTCCCATATATCCCTTGCCCCTACACATGCACAGCCTCCCCTACTATCAACATCTCAGAGTGGTACTTTTGTTACAATCAGTGAACCTACATTGACACGTCATCATCACCCAACATCCGTAGCTTACATTGGGGTTTACTCTTGGTATTCTATACAAATGTATAATGATGTGTAT